AGGGACCCTAGAAATCATGTAAATCAATGACCATTTGGATCTAATAATATGGCATATTAATTCATTATGGAGGAAACAACTGTTGCCATTTTGTAAATGCTCTTTCAAATCATGGATCTGAAATTTAAAATATCTTTTAGCTCTATGAGCAATTCAAAGCTCTTAAGTCTTTAGGAAGGATGATTGTATTTTAAGCCTAATACGTGTATCCTAAGCTTAGACCAAGTTTTGGTCATCACTCTTCCTTTACATGTTCCTTCCTCAAATTGGGTTTATACTTAGACAAAAAAGAAATCTTTTCCCTCTCTCATAGCATCCCCTGTGAGCTCCTATTTCCCGCTGCCCTTTCAGAGTTTGTTCATTAAATTGTTAGTTCATTTATGCGTATAACACATATGTTTTTAATACTTGATACTTTTAAATAGGCACTGTGCTAGGTGTTGGGTATACAGTGGTGAGCAAAGCAAATATAGTCTCTGCCCTCATGAACCTTTAAGTCTAGAGTGGAAGTGCTTGTAAATCAAATGAATGATCTTATTACAAATAAACTATGAAATGTGCTTTGAAAGAAAAGTATGGGAGACTATGAACACATAGAATAGGGGGATCTGAACTAGTCTGAAAAGTTAGGGACAGTGTTCCGAGGAAGTGGTATTTGAACTGTGATCTGGAGGGTATGGAGGACATGACAGGGAGGTGGGGGGAAGGGTAAGAAGGAACATTCCAGGTGGAGAGAACAGCAGGTGCTAAAATTCTTCTGAGGGAGGAGGGGAACATGAAGCATTCAGGGAACGGAACTAAAGAACGCTAGTTTAGCTGGAGCAGAGGGGAGGAGGTGAAATGAGTTGAGCACAGCTATCAGGTCAAGGTCCTTCAGCACCTTGTAGGCCATGGTGAAAATGTGGTCTTTGTCCTGAGCAGAACCATGAAGCAGTTACTTTACCTTTATCTTCATAAAGGAGTACTTATGAGACTCATGATGGACTACTTGGTACATCAAAAATATGGTACCAGCCACTGCAAGCCTGTGGCTCCTGATTATTTTTCATGTTTTCCTTTCACTGGAAAAGGGTCTGAATATTCTACTGCTAGTGTAGGTTTACTTTTTTTTAATTAAAAATTACTATTTCTTAGTTTATTTGCAAGATAATTTTAAGCAGATCATTCTTTAGCTTTATTTCAGTTCAGAGGTTATATAGTGATGTGAAAGTCAGTATGTATAGTGTTTTGTCTTTGAGATTATGGCTTCCCTTAAAACCTCATTAGTTCAGACTTATGGGTGGGGGCAAGACCTATTTAAATTACAGTTTATTTTAAAAAGTATAGCAGCATTATCATAAGTCCATACATTCACTGAAATGAAAATAAGCCTATGTTGTTGTCCAAAAGCTTTTCATTGATGAACACATGAAAAATTTTAATTAGTAGAGCAGAATCTCAAGCCAAGCATGTTAACAATATGAAAACTCATTCATTTATTCATGTGCTTTTATTCAATAAACGTATATTAAATTCCTCTGCTAACAAGATATTTCCAAATGACTTGATATATTTTTATCCTATTTAGGTAAAATATATCTCATAATTTTGTTTTTGTTCATTAAGACTTATTAAAATTGAATATTTAACCCTGTATCATGAATTATGATTTTTGGAAAGATGAAATTCAAATGAAAGAAATTAAAAAATTGATTTGTGTATAGTGATATTATTAGAAAGCTTGAAACTCTTCTGGGGCAGGAAATGTTCTCCACTTACAGGAAGATACTGCAAGGAACATGGCCAAAGGCAGGGAACAATCATACAATCCACCACTGTCACAATATTTTTTTTTCATTTTTTTTTATTGAGTTATAGTCAGTTTACAATGTTGTGTCAATTTCCAGTGTAGGGCACAATTTTTCAGTTATACATGAACATACATATATTCATTGTTGCATTCTTTTTGTCTGTGAGCTACCACAAGATCTTGTATATATTTCCCTGTGCTATACGTGTAATCTTGTTTATCTGTTCTACATATGCCTGTCAGTATCTACAAATTCCGAACTCACAGTCTTTTCCTTCCCACCCCTTTCCCCCTTGGCAACCACAAGTTTGTAGTCTATGTCTGTGAGTCTGTTTCTGTTTTGTATTTATGTTCATTTGCCTTTTTCTTTCTTTCTTTCTTTTTTTTAGATTCCACATATGAGCGATCTCATATGGCATTTTTCTTTCTTTTTTTGACTTACTTCACTTAGAATGACATTATCCAGGGACATCCATGTTGCTGCAAATGGCGTTTAAATAATATGCTAGACGATTTCTCAATTTATACATTTTAGACTGTGTAACAGCTTCCTGTTATTATCAACGATGTATTTAATACATAGCATAGTCTCTCAAGTCGTCCTTTCACCTGGGGATCTCCCTCTGTGTCTCCCTTCTTTAGAGCCCTTTTGTCCTCTTGCTCCAGTCAGGGTTAATTCTCTCTAGGTGTGATGTGCAATAGTCATCCTTAGGTTTCTCTTTGTCACTCTTCTGAATTTGATCCACTGTTTTGTTGTTGTTGTTGTTGTTGTTGTTGTTTTGATGCCCATGCTTTCCTCTTTCTTGATTTTCTCCCTTACTTGGCTGGAACATATCCTCCATTAACTTTGGAAAGGATGTGAGAGAGACATTTTTTGAATCCTTGCGTGAGTCTTGTTTTTTTAATTTCTGGAAGCTTTTTAGGACATTTTCTTTATCCCAGGCTTCAAAATGCTACAAATACCTTATCTCACAAATATCAACTCAGAATGGATCATCAAAGTGCTAAATGTAAAAGTTAAAATTTTCAAGCTTCTAGATAAACACAAGAGAAACTCTTCATGACCTTAAGTTAGGAAATATTTCTTTTAGATACAAAAAATAGACAATCAAAGAAAAAATTCATTAGACTTTTGAAAATTAAAGCTTTTGCTTTTTTAAAGTCACCATTAAGAAAGTGAAAATACATATTCCACCAAAAACCCTGTGCATGAATGTTTTTGTATGTTTATTTGTAGCTGCCCCAAACTAGAAACATCATAAAAGTCCATCAGTGAGTGCATAAACAAAATGTGACATATCCATACAATGAAATATTTCTCAGTAATAAAATGCAATAAAATATTGATACATGTAACAACATCAGTAAGTGTCAGTCATAAAACTGAAAGAAGCCAAGTACTAAAGAATATATGTTACATGATTCTATTTATAACTCAAGAAAATGCAAACTAATCTAAAGTGACAGAAAGTTAGTCTGTACTTGCCTGTGGCTGAGGTAGGGGAAACATCTCTCCACTGCAGAAGTGCATGGGGAAACTTCTGTGGAATGTAAATATTCTGCATCTTTATTGTGGCAGTGTGTCATGGATATATGCATATGCCCAAACCCATCATATTGTATACATTGAATGAATTCATGCAGCTTATTGTACTTAACTTACACCTCAATAGAGCTGATAAAGTGAAAAAATAATTGCAGGTATATTGGAATTTATTAATAGCATCTACTAGACATTATAGTTATCAATTTATCATCTTCAGAAATTCTCATTAGATATTAGAGAATGTATTATGAAGAAAATGGTGCATTTAATTTGTAATGGCTCCATATAATTAATTCTAAAGCAATTCACTATAATATATATTTAATAACTCTGTAGCTAAAATCATGTTTTGTGTATAATGATATGTAATACATATATTTCTCTAATTACAAAAATGTTAAGAGTTTATATAATAGTCATACATATAGGTCTTGGATAGGAGTCATATATTACAGGTACAACCTAAGAAAAATTTAAAATATGCAACAAACTAAACATTTTTATGACATGACACAATTGAAGATTTAGACTGACATGATATGTAATGTTAGAGAATTATATTTTCCAAATGTAATTGGGCTGTTATTTTAAAAAGTCTTTATTCTTTAGAAATACATACTTAAATGATACAATTTCTGATATTTTCTTCAAAGTAATACCAGAGATGGGAAGTGGGTGGATAAGCAGGTAACACAAGATTAGTTATGGCTTGATAATTACTGAAGCTGGATGATGGGTACAGGTGCTTGAAGGAGGGGGAAGGGTCTTATGCTTTTCTGTTTAAATTTATGTGTTTGTAATATTCCATGATAAGAAGATGTATCTATGTTCTAACTTAGCAATTTCACTTCTAGAAATTTATCTTAAGGAACTGCTCAGGGGTATGAATAAATAATCCATGACAGTGTTCAATGTAGTACTGTTTATTAATTGGAAATAACTTAAATACTTAATAGGTATTTGGTTAAATAAATTTGTATGATGTAATACCACATGGAATTAAAAATACAGAAAAATATGTAATAAGATGGGAAAATATGTGTGATATATTTTTAAGTGAAAAAATTGCAGGCTTTAAAACAGGATGTTTACAAAAATCTGTTTTTAAATAATATAAAATATAAATTATATATGTGTAGGGTGTGTATGAATATGTGGTGAAATGCTGAAAGGACATATATTATGATTTATATCCTCATAATTTTCAGAAATATCTTTTTGAATAGTTTTTTTTAATAAAAAGCATTGGATATTTTCACTTTAATGTGCTAACAATGTAATGTATAAAATTACACTGTAAAATATTTTATTATGTTTTATTATTTGGTTATTTGATTCATTTGGTTATTATTTATTTTTTGTTAAACCTCAGCGTCTAGCACACTGCTTGGAACATAGTAGACTATTCAGTGAATAAAGATTAGGGTCGATACTTAAAATTTTGTTCTTCTTTAAAGTGTTCAGTCTTTTCCTTGTTTTCTTTGAAGAACAGATATAGTATTACTTTTTAAATCAGAAATTCATGCTCAAAAGTGTACAGTTTTGACAGGCTAAGATTCTGCTCCTCTATTCTGAGATGTAATAAACCAGAATATTCTCCTTAAAATTTCATGTAATATCTAAAATGTAGATATTTGTTTAGCATCTAATTTTTGTTTTTTCTAGTTTCAGCTCTCGAACATCTTCAAATAAAGAAGTGGTTATAAAGAGCGGTAAGACCTGTAATTGTCCTTATGGGGGTGTTGAGGAAGGGTTTTGTCTGTGATGGACTTCCCTGAACGCCGGTACTTGCATCAGGAGTCTCTCATGTGAAAAATCTCTTAAACTAGTGTATTCTAAATTATGAACCAAAAGAGACTCAAACCTGGTACATTTCACAGTCTTTAGCATATTCTTGTCACTCAATTACTTTAATAAATCAATGACATTTACCCTTTGTACTCATATCATTTTATTTGACAGATCAGCAGAATAATGGAGATACAAAGCCAATGCAGAATTTCACAATACCAGTCACACAGGTATGGACATGTTAGGAAACTAGATTGTATCTTTAAAAAAAAAATGTAAACACATTTCAATCAGATCAGAGCCACTATGAAAATATAAATAATAATTCTATTAATAACCAACATTTTTACTTGAACTTTGGGTGGGGAAATGTATTATGGTAATGTTATAGTTGAGAAAGATTGAAGTTTCATTTGCTCTCATATTTCATTACAATATTCAGTTTTACTTTTGTTACTTTCCAGACTGGATCAGAATAGTAACTGTTTATCTCTGGTTACTGGTGAACTTGGGTTGCTGCTTCCTGTTTAATTTCTCTTTTATCTGTACTTAGACTACAGTAATTGGTGTGAAATAGTTGATCTAGGTAAGTAGATCTTTCAGATGGAGACCTGCTTTTGTGACTCCAGACTGATGTACTGAGGTGCACTGTCTTGGGCTTCCTGGTAATCTACAAAAGTTTCATAAGATGTAGAACAAGGTTAGAATACCTTGCTAGTTTATGTATATTAAGTGGTCTGGAGTTGCTCTGTCCAAGACAGTAGACTCTAGCCACATGCAGCTATTTAAATTTAAATTCAAACTGAATAATGTTAAGTAAAATTAAAAATTAAGCTCCTCAGTTGTCCTGGCTACATTTCCAGTGCATAATAGTCAATGCCCCAGAATGTCCTATTAGACATTAATGGTCTGGAGAATTATGCTTGATTTCTAGAAACCTCTTGTTTTCTTCAACATGTTAATTTCTTAACTTAAAGTTTTGAGTTATTTGGGTTCCTATGATATTGTTTTTTGAAAAGATTACTGCCATTAGTTTCATGGTATGGTGAATTTTAAAAAAATAGACTTTTTTTTAGTAGTTTTAGGTTTACAGAAAAAATTGAATAAAAGTACAAAAGGTTCCCATATACCTTCTCAGTCTACCCACCCACCCAATTTCCCCTATACTTAAAATTTTGCATTAGTGTGGTACATTTGTTAAAACTGATGATCCACTATTGATATATTATTAACTAAGTCCATGGTTTGTATTAGGATTCACTCTTTGCGCTGTATGGGTTTTAACAAATGTATAATGATACCTATCTACTATTACAGTATCACATAGAATAATAGTTTCATAGCTAAAAATCTACTGCCCTCCACCTATTTATTCCCTTTTCCTCCCCCTGCATGTTGACTGATGACTTTTTAAAGTCATTATTGCTAATGTTACTACTTTCAAAGCTGGTTTTTTGTTTGTTTTTATAATTTCATCATTTCCATTTCTCGTGCTTTGTGGAATGGGGTTAGTGTACCTATCATTTTTAGGCTTTTTAGGATCAGGTCCACCCATCTCCTTTTCCCCACAAGAGCACAGACTCTAAAGCTAACAGAGTTCCAACAGGATTTGAATTGGCTCTTTTCCTTCCAAGAAACCTTTTGTACCATGGAAACAAATCTGT